TCCCTGGATATATATGTTTCACACAAAAACACATCAAATACTCGATTAATTATAGTAATACAGGACCGGGAGAAAAAGTGTCAAAATGATTATTTTGTTATTCATGTATCTTCACTCGTCGGAGTAGAGGGAATGCAAGGTGAAAAGAACTCCCTCGATCTCCTCGTTCACTTTGGTGAGTCTTTTTTTCAGTTTTTTAATGTCTTTTTTTATTTGAATTTTTTTTTTTTCAATCAGGTCCTCTTCGTAGTTGAGTAATATCTGTCTGAAAAAGATAAATATGCTGATAAAATTTCAACTCTTAATATCGTATGTGAAAGAATATATCATACACCTGTGGTCGGGCATTGAGACGCCGAACTTCTCGTCATCCGAGATGTCGTCGAAAATGACTATTACATCCCCGGCGTCATTTGAGGCCTCGGAGACTGACTGCAACTTGATGTTATCCAACCATCCGATGGACTGTGCATCCTCCCTAGGAATTGAAATAAAAACAGGACATACAGACATCCAGTTATTTTCAATAAAAATATCCTTTGGGAGATCATTGCATTCGAAAAATATTTTTCGTAAAAATATTTCAACAATAAGAAAATGTAAACAAAGCAGTGGTCATTTGCAGAATTTTGAAACGTAAAAATTAATCAACAGCATTTTGACCCAGATTTGCAAAATTAAATCGACGCAAAAATTTCCAGATTTACGGTATGTCTTTATACTGTACTAGTACAGGGGTTCTTAATAGAGATTGTGTGAACTTTTTTTACTTATTAAACTAATATTTTAACCAGTTTTAAATTGATGTCATTACATTTTTCGGGCCCAATAAAGCTAAAACTATACCTTCTTCTTTCAGTTTGTAATAATGCATTATTGCATTTTCATCATTCATTTCAGAGTAGGTGTTTGGCATGAAATCTATTGTATTAATGCTTTATACGAGACGGGAAAATAGATAGGCCAGGGCATAGTGCGCAATACTGCACTTATACTTTCACTGAGAATGACAGCAAGAAAATTTTCTCAGTAAAAGCAGTAGACAAAAGAGAAACAGAGAGAAAGAGTGCAAACCGTGAGAAAGAAGGATTCATTAGAGGAATACAATACAGAGGGTTACAAGATAAAGAAAGTTGTTACTTATGCTCTCCTCCACAAAGGTGCCATGATGAGGGAGTTTTCACTATCATTTTGAATACCAATATAACATGTATATAACCTTTATAGTTTTTAACATAATTATGTTTTACTTGATGACTTGCAATACAAATGTGATCAATAAAATCCTACTTCAACTCTTTACCTTATTCCTGAATGGTATATTGGGTGAATTTCATAAAAAGTACACGATTTGAATCGGTATTGCCGCTTTCATATGTTCATTTGAAAATTGATACATTCACCCCGTCACATTTGAAAAAAAAAATTAAAATAGTAGCCTATATTCCTTTATATGTAATGTATCTTAATTTTAATTTTGTGGGCCTGACAGTTATATATGATGCCCCTTGACTGGTCAGTTTGTCAGAGCATGTAGAAATGAAATCATCATTACAATGGTAAACAGTTTAGAGAGCCTTCTTGATAAGATCTGTAATTTTAAGTACTGAATAGTTCTAGTGTTTATAAGGGCATCTGAAAATGCAGCAGCGGAGTCCTCCTTCCTTTTTTGACAGCTATCCCTCCAAAAGCTTCCAATTCTTTCAGTTTTAGATCGTTAAGTTCTGATGCTTTGGTGGTACTTGGTTTTGCTGTAGAGCCTTTAGAGGTGGTTTACTTTTCTGTTTTTTTTTTCTTTGTCTTTTTCTGCTCCCATCGTCATTTTCTTTCTCAACCTTTTCCTCTTTTTCCACTCTCATTTCATCCTACAGTTTTCTCATATTTTAGAATAAAGTTTAAGTTTCTTTTTGTTGACATTTTGGAAATACTTCTTCTTTAATTTGTTAAATATATCCACGGAGTGGGTGCTTGTGGGCAATGGAATTGGGATTTTTCTAATAACCATCTTTTTATCAGGATCAGGATAATAAGTATGGTAGAATGCCCATGCATGTATACCTATTAAATTAAAACTTATTTTTAACAACATGATTACACATATATTGTAACACTAACACGAAAATTCTCTATCAAATATAAGAGAGTCATAATCATCATCATCTGTTGAAGATATGTATGGCTGCTTTCTTTGTAATTCTATTTCTGACTTGGAAAGTACATGTTTTTTCCCAAGTTTTGGTTTGAAAATTGCACGATTTCTTTTAAATCTCTTTTTGGATATTTTAGTAGCACATTTCAGCATGTAAAACTCATTTTTGATTAAAATTAACAAACCAATAACAAACCAATATAAATGCAAATACTAAAACCAAGATTTAAAGAAACAAGGAGTTTGACACCTTTCATCTCCGTCGTATAGAACACATCTTCGTTATTCCTCTGTGAACCTACAATAATAAACCTTGGTTGTATATTAAGGTAAAACAACACAGGTTTCAAGTTCAGCAGGTTATATATTATAATATTTCCACATCATTTCACACATAGGAAATAGGATATTTCCGATAATAAAGATAATTGGCCCTGTAAAATAATGTACAAAACCTCAGTAATGTATAAAATAATCAAGTGTTCATATTATAATACAAAACACTAACATAAAATAGTCTCTCACTGAAGATACGTATCTGAACGCATTTACTCAATATAGTTATAGTTCAAACACTTATAAATTTAATTTATAAAGTGATCTCCACTGAACCTATTTAATTATTAAAGTTTAGCGATAAAATCAAACAATTATTTACATTTACAAATAGTATTTAACAAACGACTTACCAAAATTATGGAATTTAGGCTCTCCAAATTATAGAAAATTTATCTGAGTGCTGTGCTGTGCTAAAATAATTAAACATGCAAGTTTTTACTACTGAAAAATACAGAAATCTCATCCTGAAACAATTCTCAAACTTCAAGGATAAAAACCAAACGAAAAGTCAAACATACCATGAATGAAAATCCTGAGTCCAATAAATATAGACACAACCTGCTGGAACCACAGCACTGTACAAGAGTGACCAACACCCCAAATAGATTCAAAAACCAGTCTTTGGTCATTAGTCATGTGACATGTCCAAACCAATCGCTCAATAGAGTTTTGGCGGGAAAATAATTAATTCAACAAAATGTAAAATAAATCAACACAGACACTTTTAATAACTTTGTAATTTTATATATTTGTAAAACTTTTAATAACCTACCTGTATTTCATAATTATAAGTGCATAAAAATAAAAACACAATTTAAAGTTATATATACAAAATTCTGCTATGCTACATCCTCCCCCTGGCTATGAAATGATTTTACAATGGAATCAACCACTTTCTGTATCAAAGCCGGAGAAGTAGCTTTCAAAACATCCGAGCAGATTAAATTCGTAATTAACTGTGATTTTTCCTTACCTGCATCAGTAACCTCTCTCTGACTCATGACATATGACTCTTGCCATTTTGGTTTCTTCCTAACCCTAGCTGACCTACGTAAACCAGTTTCCTCATTACCTCCCTGGGCCACAACCTCAGGTTGTAGATTTGGTTCTTCCTGTTGCTCATGTGGAGTTTCCTCTGGTTCTCCTTCTTCTTGAGCTTCCACTGGTTCTTCTTCTTCTTGAGCTTTCTCTGGTTCCTCTTGAGTTCCCTCTGGTTGCTGAGTCCACTTCATGTGTGACTTCAACCATGTAAACCTCATCTTCAGTCTCACTGTCACTACTGTGGTAGCTTCTCTCCTCTCTCTTTGAATTGTCCACCTTCTTAATCTGTGAACTCTTCTTTTCTGTTTTCTTTCTTATACTTTTGTCAGGCCTGACATCTGTAAATTCTTCTCTTCTTGTACCTGTTGGAATTATTAAATTCCTGTGAACTATTTTCTCTATTCCATCTTCATCTGAAATTAGAAAAACTGGAATATCCGGGTTAGGTTGTGATTTAACAAAATAAACTTTCTTCTCAAACTTATCTGCTATTTTATGTTTTCCTTCATAAGCTAAAATCCGTAATAAAACTTGATCTCCAATACTTAGCTTCTTTGCCTTTGCTTTCTTGTCAAAATGATTTTTCTGCTTTATTCTTGACTTTTCTGCTGCTTTCCTCACTATGTCAAAGGTCTTCTCCATTTTGTTCTTCAAATCTGTAATATATTCATTATAATTTGGTTTCTCTTCACTGCTATCCTCTAATCTGAACGCTAAGTCTACAGGTAGTTTTGGCTTCCTCCCGAACATCAATTCAAATGGGGAATACCCAGTACTCTCATGTTTTGTACAGTTGTACGCATGCACTAATGATGGTAAATACTTTTCCAATCTTGCTTTTCTCTATTTTCTAATGTTCCTAGCATACTAAGGAGTGTCTTGTTGAATCTTTCGGTCATTCCATTTGACATCGGGTGGTATGGGGTGGTTCTCGATTTTTCTATCTTTGTAATTTCGCATAATTCCTTAATCAAATGACTTTCAAATTGAGCTCCTTGATCACTATGCAATCTAGCTGGAATTCCATAATGTAATATAAAGTTGTTGTAGAATGCTTCTGCTGTTGTTTTTGCAGTTTGGTTTCTTGTTGGAATAGCCATGGCATATCTGGTGTAGTGATCAGTAATGACTAAGATGTTACAAATCCCTCCTTTGCATGGTTCCAATGTCAAATAGTCTAAGCAAACTAATTCTAATGGATAAGATGATGTTATGCTGACCAATGGAGCTTTCTGACATGTTGACTTTCTCCTTAGACATCTGTCGCAGTTCTTTATCCAGTTTTCTGTATCAAAACTCATCCCTACCCAATAAAATCTGTCTCGCAATAGAGCTGTTGTCCTATCTTTTGCGGGATGACCCATGTTGTTGTGAAGTCCTATAAGAGCTGATTGAATAAGTTTTATAGGCTGTACTAGTTGGTTAACGGTGTTTTCTTGAAACTTTACAGTCCTGTATAGTACCCCTCTGATTAGTCTAAAGTCAACATGTCATCAAATGCAGCCTTTGAAATCCCAAGCAGATCAAGATAATCAATGTCTGAAAGCTGACTGTGTTTTTCGAAGTCAAGTCTTATCTTCTCACTTCTCAATACTTCTGATCGTAGAAATCTTATCATCTGAGTGATTGAGTATCTGTTCAAGGTTGTAGTTGCTGAAATAAGACTCACATCCTCAATGTTCTTCTGTAAATGATTTGGGCAGCATCTAGATCCAGCTGGTATTATGACTTCATGTGACAAGAAAAGCCTGTGTCTCATCTCAACTGGTACAACAACAGGTTTAGGACCAGGTCTTTTACAAAGGCAGCATGCTGAGTGGCCTCGAAGAGTGGAAGAAAAGAGGAGCATCACTGAGGGAGGGCTGGAGATATCAGGCTGTGCAGAGGATGTTGCTGTCTGGTTTATCACCGGTACCTTATCCTTTCTTTGGAGACTGCACTTGAACCTAAAACGACATCTGCTGCAAATGGAATCCTTTCCACCTGGCGTCTTACCTGTAAATAAAATGAAAGTTTTTTTTAGACAGTGTGCTCCTGTAATTTTATGTTTCTTTGTTTGTTTATTGTCACTTTCAGTTTTTTAACTGATGTTGAGAAACCACTTGCCAATTGATCTTGAGTTCATCAAATTCAGACTTGTACCTGTGCCTTACCCACCCACCCCCACCCCCTACCGTACAAACATAAGGATCAACAGTGCCTCAATCATCTGAGACTGTTAACAATCGCTAAACCACTGCGCCAAACGGGCAACTTAATTTATGATTCTATGTTGTTTCTTTCATAAATTAAATATTTTCAAATTAAACTTACCCGTGCATTTGATAACTAAGGACTTGATCTTCCTTGGAATAGAATATCTGTCCTTCAGACGTGTTCTCCTAGGACAGGTTAAACATGTATACATCTTTGGCCCTGTAGTATTTGCACGAGGCATATCTGAAATTTCAAAAATGAATAACATAACAGAATTTTTAACTTAAATAATTGCATTACACATATATTCTATACTTCTCCTTACTTTTTAAAATTTATTAGTAAAAATAAAAATAGGCATATTTTGTAACTTTTAACTTTTGTAACTTTTACATATTTTAATATGTATTGAAACTTAATTTAAAACTTGATGATTTGATATTTTGAAAATATCAATTTTGTATATTATTTCCTATAAGGAAATTGAACATGTCAACAAAATACAATTTATAAGTATTAATAACCCTGACAATTCCTTTGGATAGATCATATTTCTCATTTTTATTTAAAAAAAAAATACTGGAAGATCTAATTGTAATAATTTATGTACAGATGAAATATATATTTAATGCTTTTGTATGCCCTAATAAATACAAGAATTAATTAAATAAATAGATGCTTCATTAGTTTTCCATTTCAACATACACACACCTTCTCAATTTCAAATACAAAACAAACAAAAGCAATTATATTGTAACTTTAGCCCATAATTGAGTTGTTTCCCTTCCTTTTACATTAAAAATAAAAATGTGTACAAAATGTGAACACCATTCTTAGTAATTTCTTTAAGAAATTGCTAAGAATGGTGTTCATATGTTTTGAAAAAAAAATGAGAGTGAAGCAGTATCATTGTGATAAAAAAAAAAAAACATTCGAACGCTATTTCTTAAGAAATTCGAGTCGCTTCCCCGTGTAAATGATTTGATAAATTAATTGTCCTTATATATTATATTCAAACTCGTTTATTTTTGAAGATATATTTCAAGAAGCAAGATCACAAAATAAATAATGAAAACTTTATTTATGTAATTTACAAACTGAATATGATTTTTATAAATTGAATCTTTGGCATTATGCATGCTATGTTCATCAATCTCCTTTGAGTAAATTTGGATTTTAATTTGGAAACAAACACAGTGTTTTCTTTCATATTTTATTGATATATATATATATCAATTTATGTGATAATTTTAGTCAGTATTGATTATAAAATTTTAAAGACATATATGTATATATGTATCAACGCATATTGAAAACTATCAATGAAAAAAAATTTTATGAGAAAATGGCTAATGACTTCCATTGTATTAGTCTCTATTTTTAGGAAAAAATCTACATTATTTTTCTTTTTTAATGAAATTTGTTGTAAATACATTATATTGTATAAATTTGCATATGTATATGCTCAAGTGAATTTCATTTGTAAAGTTGAAGATCAAAAACTGTTTAGACATGCAATTAAATCACATTGCTATCAATAATAAAAATCACTTGAAAAAAATTTACATTCCTATTTTTCATCATTTTGTATTTTCAATAAAGTACCACTGTTGATGAAGTCATTTCAGTACGGATCTACCTTGTAACCAGAGGTTTGAGTAAGTTACAAAGACTTGCAAAAACAGAAACAATGTCATCTACAAGAGGAACCAGAGTAATTGGTAGTGTGTTCTTCAAAATGGCAAACCACTTGATCCTGTTGATGGCTCTTTCAACATGGATACGTACATTAGCAATACTTTTTGTTTTTTCTACATTTTCTCTTGTCATTTGTTGAATGCCGGATCCTGGAGGTGGAATAACCAAATTTGCATACCGGAGCAAAAGTTCCTCTCGAATTGGAAAGCCTCTGTCAGCTAAGATAATGTCGCCAGGATCTATTAAGTCAAGAAATGATGATTCACGGACAATCTGTATGTCCGACATCCTTCCACCATAACACTTACTTAAGAAAGAAATAGCTCCATTAGGAGCTATTCCAATAAGTACTTTAACTGTATTATGTTGTTTATAATCGGACCACGTGAGAGCTTGTAGTTCCAAATGTCGGCTTCTCAATGAAAACTTCAGTGCAGTCTATTGTGCATCTAAGTTTGGCGTACTGTTTTATTAATGATGGTGGTAGTAATTTTCTGACAATTTCTTTGTCTGGCCAGAAGATCAGAGGCCTTAACTCTTTGGACAGAAATTTTATCCAAGTGTTAAAAATCTTTGAACATGTACCCTGAGAGACTCCAAATAAATCGGCTAAAAATTCAAAGTTAATATCTAGTCTAAGTTTCATTAATGTTAAAACAAGCTCATCAAGTGCACCAAGTTTTTTCTCTGGACCACTCTTTTTTGGGGATTTCTTGAAATGACGAGGCACTTTGGTACTGATCACTTTTTTAGAGCCCTCCCAATATCTCAGGCGATGGGATTTTGGTTTTAAATATTTGTATAAGTTCAGAAGAGTTGATTTATTCGGAAGGCCAGTGTTGGCTCTTACTTTTTTATCTGTTTTTATAAACCTTTTGTGCACATTCTTCTTTCCATGGAGTTTACTTTCATTTGTCGTGACCATTTGCAATCTTTCCAACTGATAACTAAGATTATTTATCATTTTAGATTTCTCTAAACACCCTAAACACTCACAGTTTGCATTACAAACACATTTTGCACAATAATCATGCTCAAATTGTAAAGGAACTGTACACGTAACTGAATTATCTTCCGTTAGATGGACAACATTTTCATTTTCATCAGTTTTAACCTTGGTTTCTGAAGATTTCTTAGATTTTTGTATTAATGGCTGTCTTTCCTTTGGGGGAGGCCTGAGTTTTAAAGGCATAGTTAGTTCATACCCAAGGTTTAATGTTGGGACAGGATTGCCTCCTTCAAAATGTTTCGAACATATTCTACTGTCATCATCATGCTTCCAATTTTTCCCAGGTTTCTACTGTCGATTAACTAATTTAATCCATTTTGCCCTTAATTCGGGGTCTTTTCTTTCTGTTGGAAAGGGTATCAGATCAAATGGGGGAGGGCACACACACCATCCTGTACCACTGTTGCATTGGTGCACTTCACAAAATGTCTTTTTCCATTTTTTGAGTTGGTAAGTGCTGCTTGTGCAGTCTTTGATGGCACAAATCCTCATTCTTTCAACTAAAATTCAAAACTTTAAAGATTATAACTCGGTAATGACCGATCTTAACATATGAGGACATACATAGATGTTTCCTGATAATATTATATATAGCCTTCAGTCGATAGGGAACGCTATCATGACAAAAATAGATTACTTTACTGTACAGTACTTAATTGTGGTTAGAAATCTGCTAAGTGTACTTTTAGTTTAACATGTTCAATGTAGAGAACTTAATTCAATTTACTTTTGATGGCAAGTGACCACACTCACCATCTGAATGTGAATAAAAATAGCAATAGTATTATCACTGCTCTCTCTCTCTCTCTTAACTGATTGACTTCGACTCCTAACGTTATACCACAGGTACTTATGGACAGGACCCCCCATATTCAACCCCGGGGATTATTTGACATTTTTTTCAACTTATTCATCATGTGTACAGTACGAAAAAATCGTCAAAACCCCAAAAACAATCGCTCCACAAAAAATACCCCACATTACATTAATTATAAGGGAGTACATGCACCCATTAGACTGTTATAGATCTAAGTACTGTCCTTCGTGTTATAAACACTAAACAGGAAAATTATATCAAATCTTGACATTGTATGCCTAAAGACAAATGCACATTAACTTTTTCATGATGTTCACTCATGTGATGATCATGTATAATACGAAAAATAACCGTTATACTTACGACATTACCAGTCAGCACAACAGCATTTAGTCTTCCTCGTGTTGTTTTTATCCCGAATGACCTATGACCCGGAAGTGTTTATCGGAACTCTCGGCATGTGCAAAATGGCATGTCGATAAGACTTATTTAAGCTAAAAGAGGATGGATAAATAATAATTATATATTTTTGACTTGTCAAATGTTGAATGGAAAAGAATATAGGGCCGATATATTTTTGTTCCTCTATATTAATTCCTTTCGGAGAAAAAAACTTATTCAGAAATACGCGTTAGATATCAATGTTTCATTTTAGACTTAAATTTTTTTCCGAGAGGAATGCGCCCCACTCCAAAGAATCTGGGGGAATAAGGCGAGTCAAATGCCCACACGGATTTTGTCGCTCTGTAAGCATATCGGAAATTTCATAGTCGTACGATTTACCTAAACATTTAAACTTTGTACAGCACTGTCCAAATGACGGTTTAACCAGTACATGAGATGCTTTTCATACTGCGTGTTAATTGTTCTATCAAATATGTTTTCAAGAGTTGGGAGATGGTTTTACCTTTCTTTTAACTGTTTTTGCATACATAACAGCCACATCATGCTGGTCTACCCATGATTGTTTACATTTCAATCGTGAAATGTATTCTTGAACCGAATGCATTCAAAATGTTATGCATGTATAATTATCTTGTAAACTTGTGTTAGTAAAGGAAATATATTCAATGAACGTAAATAAATTCATTATCTTATTTATTTTGTTTTTTAGTGAAAAAATATATCTATCTATAAATTTCAACCTGAACTTAAAAAAATCGTGATTCAAACACTCGCGACATATAACTGGGTATTCCAGCACTGCCGCTATGACCACTGAGCCACGAAGTCTCACAAACATCGCCCTTTAAATAACAAACAGTTCTATTGTATATCAAACACACAATTGGACTTAGAGTTTTTTAGAATATGTTCCGAAATTTAAGTAGGAAAACTAACTTTTTTATATAGAGTGGGTCTTCGAACCATTTTTTTGAAAATGGTAAAAGATACATCTTTCCATACCCTTTCAATATTTGTTTACAAAAAAATGGTAGGAAGACCCACTCTATATAAAAAACACAGCTTTAACACTCAATTTCTATCATTTTTAGGGTTACTAAAGCGTGTTAGCATTTTGATGGGTTAATTACAACCAATTTCTAAGTCATTTGATTCAGGTTTAATCTTTATGGTATGTACATGGTTATAAATAACCCCTAAATTTAACAAAAAGTGGAATTTGTAAGAATTTTTTATTTGATATTTTACCTGCCCTTGCGTAGGCATATGGCTCGCCTTATCCCCCCAGATTCTTTTAATATAAAGTTGTAAAATCGGTGGAAAATTCCGGAAAACTCGAAACAGTTGTTGGTTTTTGCCATTACGATGAGAAAGACAACATCCGGTTTGACCAAAGCAACCTACCCCTGCATTGATTAAGTATAGTAGATAGAAAAACCACAGATAATTTTCATTGAAACGACAATTTATTTTTAAAGAGATTCACAGGTCATACTCAGTACTTTCTGACTTTTGCTCTTTAATCTTTTCTTCAATTTGTCAACATAAGATTGATGAAAAACTTTTTTTTTTACATATTTCAGAAGAGTCTAAATTTAACAAGAGGCCCACGGGCCTTATAGGTCACCTGAGCATTATGAAACAACTTTCCAGTTACAGTGTATTGAATTTGATTCATGTGAAACGGAAATTGGTTTTGTGATTTAGTTTTGTTTTAACGTTTGACCTACGTTCTTATATAAATTCTTACACACTAAAAAATATTAATTCTCAGATCATACAAGTAGTATGAAACTGCCTGTGTACGAGGACTGACTGCACTGAGGTAGCACATGCCGTGTTAAAGGATCTCAGGGGACCTCTCTGGTGACGGAGTGGATAAACATTAGTTTGTTTCTTCTCTTGCGTTCGGTCGTAAGACCTGAATAAGGCAGACGGATGCAGGGGATGAACAGCTAAGTGTTTCACAGTACACCAAAGCACGTAAGACCTGAATAAGGCAGTCACTTGGTTGTAGAGAGAGGTGGCATACCACAATCAGAGGTGGGGGAAGTGCCAAGATGCAGCAGTGCTAGTGGAGTGGCAGGACTAGTGAAATTTACTTGCGGGAGACACCCGTTGACCACAGTTAGTGGTTGTCCAATCAAGAAGAAACCCATTGTATTTGTATATATTTGATTATAATCGTATTGGTCAACAAAAATCTGAGTTAACAGGTTAACGAACCTAGTGTAACGCCTTGGTGATACAAGACGTATCACCAAACACCCAAGCTCGGCCGCGTTGCACGTTACATTATTTGGTGGCAAGCGTCGGGATTTTGTTGACCATGGATTCACATAAGAAAGTGTCAGAATCTATCGAGCGGATGGAGAAGATCTTGGAAAGGATGAGAACGCCAACCAGCAACGATGGTCAGACAAATGCGGCAAGCCAAGAGTCTGGATATGCGACACACAGTACTGATAATCAACCGGCCGGTATGTCAGGAGATGTGTCATTTAACGAGTACGGCGCACGGCCTAAAGTTAGATGTCCAGACGAAGGCAAACCAAGCTTTACACCACATGCTGGGGTTGACGACATTGTGAGGGGCCATCTGTTTGACACGCCAAAACCACGGAGGCAGTCAATAGGGACAGACAATGCGATGACAGGCCATATAATCAAGCCAGTCACGTATGACGGAACTAGTTCCTGGCTTGACTACAAGTCACATTTTGAGGCTTGTGCTGTTGTAAACGACTGGACAGAAGACAAGAAAGGTCTTTATTTAGCTGTATCACTGCGTGGCAAAGCACAGTCAGTGTTAGGTGACTTGCCAAGCGATACTGGTCAGCACTACAAGACACTGGTCAGATCCCTTGAGGAGAGGTTCTCCCCTCCTAACCAAACAGATCTGTATCGTGTTCAGCTTAAGGAACGATGGCAAAGAGCATCTGAGTCCATATCAGAGTTAGGTCAGGCCATCAAACGACTAACCAATCTGGCCTACGCATCAGCACCTGGTGATGTACAAGAAACTCTCGGCAAAGATGCATTCATCGATGCCTAGGGAGATGTCACAAATTGTCAGGCATTGCAAAGTTTTGTACATATGTATATAATTTGTTAATAGTTAATCATATGCGGGACGCATATAATCTTGAGGGGAGGGTAATGAATCGGAAATTGGTTTTGTGATTTAGTTTCGTTTTAACGTTTTACCTACGTTCTTATATAAAATCTTAAACACTAAAAAATATTAATTCTCAGATCATACAAGTAGTATGAAACTGCCTGTGTACGAGGACTGACTGCACTGAGGTAGCACATGCCGTGTTACAGGATCTCAGGGGACCTCTCTGGTGACGGAGTGGATAAACATTAGTTTGTTTCTTCTCTTGCGTTCGGTCGTAAGACCTGAATAAGGCAGACGGATGCAGGGGATGAACAGCTAAGTGTTTCACAGTACACCAAAGCACGTAAGACCTGAATAAGGCAGTCACTTGGTTGTAGAGAGAGGTGGCATACCACAATCAGAGGTGGGGGAAGTGCCAAGATGCAGCAGTGCTAGTGGAGTGGCAGGACTAGTGAAATTTACTTGCGGGAGACACCCGTTGACCACAGTTAGTGGTTGTCCAATCAAGAAGAAACCCATTGTATTATTGTAATATATTTGATTATAATCATATTGGTCAACAAAAATCTGAGTTAACAGGTTAACGAACCTAGTGTAACGCCTCGGTGATACAAGACGTATCACCACACACAACAAGCTCGGCCGCGTTGCACGTTACACATGTTTTAAGCCAGATGCTATATGGCATTCACAATTTTGAAAGGGCACCATTGATCATCATAACAATAAACTTAGCAGTTGCTTAGCTTGGTTACTGAATACCCATACGCAGGGTAGGGGAACAAAATGCACTCCAACTAATCAATAATATTCATCAATAATCAGTAGTGCCCCTAACAC